GGAATTATGAGCTGGCTCATAAATATCACCAGAGCAGAGAAAATCCTGTTAATTTCCTATAATTTTCTCCCAGTAGTAAACAAGGATATAAATGGAACACAGAATATTTTTCTAACGTAATGCACTGTTAGTATTAAACTTACTTCTAAGAATCAATCACTGCACTTTAGCTTGAGGGTGTTCAGTTTCATACCATACCATTAGTCTTGTCTTCCTTAATCTAAATAAGTCCTGCACTTTCTGGAATCTGAAGTGCCCTTTCTTGTTGTTAGGCAGCAGAACTAACAGACCAGAACCTGATGGCAGAAGCATGTGAAATTGCAGAAGAAGAATCTCTTCTTGAAAGGTTCAAATGAAAATTTCCTGAGTTTAACTTACAGGAACACACATCTCCTCTCTGTGCTCATCCATGTAATATTGACAGGAAAGCAGCACAAAATCTCAAACCTGAGGGGGCACTGCCATGTTCACCTATTTCCTCATATGCCTAAGTTTTTTTGTGCTTAAAAGAGCAGAAACACACTTTGTCAAGCACTAGGTCTTGCTGGAGAGGGTACAACAAACAGCTTATGGCTTTGTATCACACACTACTTTGAGAACAGAAAACTTCTTGTAGTGCTGTTTAGGTCTTGAGACCTAAAGCAAGATGTAACACTTTTCACAATAAGCCTTTATTCTGTCTGAGCCTCTATAGTCAAAGCCCAATGATGTGACTCATTTCCTCTATTTTTCAGGGTCTTTTATCTCATAATCACTCCAGCTGGAAAGAGTGTAACATAATTTCTTCCGTGCACCAGACAAGGTATTCTGAAGTCCCTCCAAGGTGGGGCTGCAGAGCACACCAGCAGTGAGTGCAATGTGGAAGGGCAGCACCTCATGTGCCTCTGCTGGGGCATCTGTGCACTGCTCTGGCATCAGTAATGTTCCCGTTTCAATAATGAGTTATTTTATTAAATGCTGAGTTGCAAAGGTTCTGGAACAAATGTTGCGCTTATGCAGAATGTTAAATACATAGTGATCACTTATTTTCCATATGGGGAAAAGCTTGCCCTTTGATCTTAAACACATTAAAGCTGCTGCTTGCCTGTTTGAAACAACACATGAGGGTGCTCTTACTTTCCAACATTTTATCTTACAGGGGCTTTCACTCCTTGCCAAAATTGTTCTGCTCAGAAATTCGTGTGAAACAAGTCTGCATTCATCAGACATATTGCAGGCACAAAGATAGTCTTATATGAATTTTACTTTAGCAGATAAGTTTCCTTTCACACAGGATGATCCTGTAAGCACTTATCTAAGTGTTTAAGGCCAGGCTTTGAGTAATCTGATCTAGGAGCAGGTGTCCCAGCCTGAAGCAGGTGCATTGGACTCAATGAGGTCAGTTCCAACCCAAACCATTCTATGATTCTGTGATTCCATGTGCACAGTTCGATTAGAGATGACTGTGAGCACATACTGCTGAACACTGCATATATCCCAGGCTGGAGAATAAGCTCTGGAGATCCCTTTGCTAACCACACAGTTGAAGTCAGTTTCTTGAAACTTCAATATACAAAGTAGTAGCCTTCAGTAGTTGCATGGACCATACAAGTAAATAGGATTGTAACTTCCCAGAACTGAGGTACAGGCAGACATGCATCTCTGTTAGAAGGAGAAAAATACCTCTGTCAGTACAAAGAAGTCCAGTTATCTGGTATATTTCAGCTAAGAATGACTCCTGGTTCTTTGAGAGCCAATCTCTCTGTGACTCTCAACACAGCACAATACTCTCTTCAGTGTACTCAGTCCAGACAACTCCATCATAAGGCACAGCAGTGTTGTTTTCCTATATTAACAATGCGAAGCTGAGATACATGGTAATTTTGCCTTCTACAATTCATAAAAGTTCACGTTACAAATCAGTACAGAGTAGGCAATGAAGAGCTTTTTCAAGTTATGAGCCTCTGAAAGTCTAAATTCTTAACTTTCTTTAAAATATTAACTCAAGTGCACAGAAGTTTGGTAGAATTGAGAATTGGTCCTTCCTAAGCTAGGAGTGATTTAAGCTACGTATGGTGCCCAGACAGAGCACTTCCAGCACAGCCAGGAATTGTTCTTAATTGAGATACACCAGCTGATTGCACTTCCTTATAGTGAGAGCACTGCTCTTCTCCTTCCAGCTGAGATGCATGTCTGCCTGTCTCTTAACCAAGCCTGACAAGTGGAAGAGTGGATTCAGGGTGAGCCAAAAATATTTTATATAGTTATGTGTAAAAAACAAGTTCTGCTCCTTCCATATATTTTGTGATCCATTATGAACATTTATTTACCTAGCATTACAGAATGAATGTTTAGCAGTACTGAGTGTCTTGATTTAACTGAAAAATCATGTAACAGTGTCCATCCATTCATATGAGAGCACACAGTTGAAAAGTAACCCAATCAACCAATATATCAAAGCAACAGAAGATCATTTAGTCAAACCTTTTTATAAAATTGTATTAAATAAATAGCTTTTTAGTATGCCCAGAGCATTACTGAACTCAAACAATCACAGGCAAATAAATAACCAAGAAACTGTCTGTTAGAATCAGCATATTAATCTCGAATGAAACTAAAGTTACACTGGCTTCTTTTACAAAGGAAATTCATAAAAATCACAATCCCATGTTGGCTGGAAGGGACCTCCAGCAGTTATCTTGTAGGAAGCAAGTTCAATTACATCAGCTTGCTCAAGGTCGTGTCCAGTCAAGTGGTGAGTGCCTGCAGGGAAGGAGGCTGTGACCCCTCTGGACAGCCTGGTGCAACACCTGACTGCCTGCACAGTTACATTTTTTGTCTTAACATATAGTTCCAATTCTTACATAAGAAACACCGAGCATGACATTACTCCTCAAAGTCTAATCGTCAAACAGTTGTGTTACTTTTTTTCCTCAGCTCACCAGGCTGCATCACTCAATCTACTATGTTAGGAACAAGTTGTTTCCCTGAGCTGGGATTATGAGATAGTCTGCATTCTCAGCCTTCTGGTGTTATTCTCTCATAGCTATTCCTCCTTACCCCAAGAACCTCACTGAATTTGCTTCTTCTAGTTGTAAACCTAACATTAATCACAGAATCACAGAGTCATAGAATCACAGAATGGTTGAGTTGAAAGGCACATTAAAGATCAGACACGTTCAGACACAGAAGCCCTGAGTAGCTGTTTTGAGCTGCCTTACTTAGGAGTACTCCTTTGCCTGTGGAGCACTTTTGAGGCTCAATGCAGTGATTAAATGCCCAGGCACAGGTTCAGATGTCCAGCAGTGCAGCACTTTCATTTGGAAGTGTATTTATCATCTCTTTAGCAGGTACATGATGTCTTTCCACAGCGTGTTTTCTCTAGCTGTGGCCATGGCCACAGTAGGTCACATCTACACCTGCCTACCCTTATCAGCTTTTTTGAGTTGAGGAGAAGAAGGAGGATTTGTCATGAGAATCCTATAGGATCTGTTTGAAGACAAAAAGGCTACTTCAGCCAGTGTGCTGTAATGCAAGCACAACCAGGGTGGATGGAAGGCTTTTGCACAAATGTAGACCATAGAGAAAATTACTTTTAAAAAATGAATATTCACATAATTCTTGGAGGTTATGACTGGGTATGACCAGGAGTTCACTTAGCCAGACTTCTGAAGAGTACTAGTGACTGCAGCACTTCATGAGACAACTTTTCCATGTCTTTTGGGACATGGGAAGAGCATGGCCCATCCACAAGGCCCTGCAGCTGCAGGCACCATATGAAAAGGGCTATGCAGGCAGACCTTGGCCTGACTGCAGAGGAAAGTGGAAAATACCTATTGAATCCCTGACAATTTGATCTGTGGGAAGACTTTTTCTTAAATCTAGATTTGATCTCTAGCACTCAACAAGATGTAAAATGCAGCTTTTTGCTTCAGAGGAAAGGGGAGGGAGAACCAAAATTCTTTGACTGATTTTTTTTCACAGACCAAAAGAAAAAACTTCAAACCCTCCCACCCAGCTGCTTTTGCCAGTTGCCTCAGGAAGTCTGTGGCTGGCTGAATGTGGATCAGGTGACAGCTAAATGAAGCACTTGAAAGTTTCTCTAAATAATTTCATTTTTCCAGAATTTAAAAAAGAAAAGTCAACTTGGTAATTCAAGTCCATATGAGTCTGCTTTTTTATGGAATAAAGTTCGCTATGAATTCTTTGCCATTTCACTGTCTGGACAACCACAGACCAAAACCTGTCCAGCCCTTGCAGCAGTGCCTGGCAGCAGATATGAAAGGAAAACTGTGGAGGAGCCAGGCTGGTTCTTTACCAGCAGGCTGTGGCTCAGGGGCTTCCTAAACCTCAAGACTGCAGATCTGAACTGACTGCTGCTATCAGGTTGTCTAATCTCAGTTTTGGAAACAGTGTACTTTTAGTATGCATACAAACTGTGAATGATTTACAAAAGCTAAGAAATAACTCTATGAAGATGTGTATTTTCATTTGTTCACCTGAACCCACTCCTTAGAACCTGCCCTGTTGCCATCTCTGTGTGGCATTCTGAGTGGCTGTCAATCACCATTCCTGTTAATTTATCCTGTTTGCATCTTGACTTTTTAAATTCTTATTATCTATTACTACAGATTAAATCCTTTTCTTCAGGAGCTAGGGAAGTTACAAACAGAAGTGAGCTCTGATTTCCAAATTCTAATCCAATGACCACTGAACCCAGCCCATGTCAGGCCAAGCAGGTTTGCAGCATTAATGAGTGCTGGTGTCTATTTTCCATGACTCACAGTGAGGTGATATGTCTGGAATAATCTCCATCTGCTGGCTTCTGTAACTTTATGACCGGATCTGTTCTGTGGAGACAGCTACACTATGAGGCTGAGCCACTCACGTGTTTTAACTGCTTGTGTAATACCTAACATTTCTGCTTTGCACCACAGGACAATAGCATATCATTGTCACATAAAGAGTTACTGCTGTTTCAAAATATGCTTATAACCTGCCTGATACAGAGGAGCTGGTTGGGACCACACAACTTAATTTTAAAACTGCCCATTTTTCGTGTTATTGCAGATCCTAGATAAGTCTCATATCAGATGTATGGAGGGTAATGGACCTAAAATGCAATATTTGGCAAAGCATTACAAAATACATAAGGGATAAAACCCCCTCTAATTGGCAAATATATTGTGAAATATGCCCACGAATTGTAAAATAATAATACAGTGTGGGTCACAGAATCACAGAATGGGTCAAGTGGGAAGGGACCACAGTGGGTCACCTGGTCCCACCTCCCTGACCAGGACCATCCCAGAGCACATGGCACAGGGGAATGTGTCCAGATGATTCTTATATATCCCCAGTGAGGGAGACTCCACAACCTTGGGAGATCTATTCTTGTCAGTCATTCACACAATAAAGCAGGTCTTCATATTCAGGTGGTACTACCTGTGCATTAGTTTTTTCCCATTGCCTCTTGTCACGACCAAAAGAGTCTGGAAAAATCCTCTTGGCACCCTCCCTTCAGATACAGAGAGTGATGAGGTCCTCTCTCAGTCATCTCTTCTCAGGGCTGACTAGGCTCAACTCTCTCAGCCTTTCCTCCTAAGAGATACTCCAGTCCCTTCATAGTCCTCTGCTCGACCTGCTTCAGGAGCTGCCTATCTCCTGTGTCCTGAGTAGCCCCAAACTGGACACAGAACTCCAGATTTGGCTCACTAGAGCTGAGTAGATGGGAGGTTTACCTCACCTGACCTGCTGGCAATGCTCTTCCTAATGCACCCCAGGATACCATAGCTCTGCAACAAACAAATATAAAAAGTCTTCAGCTCATTAACCTCTGGAAAAATCAAACTGCAGCTTGCAGCTTCAGTGACTCCTGGTCCCCCTAGAGTCAGCAGAAACTTTTCTTGCATATGGAATACTAAAGCTGGACCGTGGGTAATTACTGCACAAATGCAAACAGCTTGCTTTTAAAAAATTCTTCTGTGCATGTTGAATGTATGTGATAGATTTAAACAACATCATAAATGTAAACTGTACTTGAGAAAACTGTGCAGCTGGTAGAGTTCATAAAGATAAAAGAAATGTTTCCATAACATTTAATTTTAAGTTGACATTTATATAACAAAACTATGGTAAAGCTATGTTTAGCCAAAGTTGTTTGCATATTTTGCATCCGTATCACCACAGGCTCTCTCCCTCATTTATATAGTTACCACATTTTGGTAACCACATTTATATAGCAGAGGCAACAGCTACCGCAAAAGGAAAACTGAAAACCAGAGAATTTGTAACATTTGGATAAACAAGCCATCAATCCTCGTGTTGTAACTAATCAACAACTGGATGTGTTCACTTTTGACTAAAGCAATTGCCCTGTTTTGAGTAACAAAGACACATAGCAGAGTTCGTACCAAGCTCTTGAACATTTAACTGTGAAAATACCCCAACTAATATGATTTTAGTTTGTCAGATAGAAACCCACTATTCTGAGCTGTTTGCCTTAGCAACCACAAGGCCATAGAAATGTATTTCTTTCAGTCCCACTGGCTTAGTTAGGAAAAGGCTTAACATAAGCAGATCCCTTCCTGACTGCAATACAGAGTTTTCCTTGATACACTACCCTTTCTAAGAGACGCAGAAATGATCAATTTTCATATTTGTGGGGACATCCCATCGCTGACAGAATGAGCAACAGTTTTACTGTCAGCATTAATAAGGTTATGATTTCCTGAATCAGCTGCTTTTTTCATTACAAATCTGGTTGAGAAACGTGTATCAACTGCAGTAAGATGTTGCAAAGATGGGTCTTTACTGCACTTAAAGGCGTGAGGACACAGCGAGACCATAGCCTGTGTCAGCCTGCCAGGGTCAGCTTTAAGCTAACTTGAGCTAACTTGAGTTCTGACAAAGTGCAGCCAAAGCAGCACAGAGGTTAGCTCAGGCTAGCTGGCCCATTATTCACCCAGCTTTCCAGACAGCCTGTGTAATTCATGTTTGTGCTCCAGCCTGGCACAATTACACTGCTCTCTTTCCCAGGTTGACTGCATGAAAACTAGCTCATGAATGTCCACAAAAGCTCCTGCTGACTTCATCTGAGAAGGTGTAAAAATGCAATTTACCACACAATATTTAAAATAAATTTCTCAAAGGATCTCTTACAGAAGAGTATAATGTTTATCTTTGTCACCACACAGACATTCCCTGTGGACCTAAGGAAAAGCAAGTATAAAAAAAATAACAGAATTTCATTAATAAATGCTATGAAAAAGCCTGAAAATTTCAGTGAAACAGGAAATTCAGGAAAAACTGTGCATAATCAGCAGATTCCAGGGTTTATACTTAAAGTGTCAATTAGGTTTCATGACACCAGTGGACTATCAAAATACAGAGGAGACGTGTGTCACTAGTGCTGGTCCTTGCAAATCTGTTAATAGAAACTAATCCGAAAGAAATAAAAGATTATACATCTCACACACACCTGATATTCAATGAGTAAATGTCTCAGGAAGATGCTGAGGACATTGTTTCACCCAGAACTTTCCACATGTCTCCCTCCCTGCTATGCTGCTGAGAATAACATCATAGGCAGTAATAAATACAGAACAGCACTAATCAGATTTGTTTATGAAGGGAAACTACTTTCTTAGTAAAGCTTCCAGCTCTTTTTAGAAACCTCTAATGTTTGAAATATTTTTTTTGCACACAAGGGTCAATAATGAAAGACAAACCTAGAAGTCAAAGAAATGTGTGCATGGAAACAGTGAAGAATCAAGTCTGAAACTAAGATTCAGCTTTCTGTTGCGATGGCTGCAAAAATGCTTCAACTTAAGGGAACACTTTCTAAGAGTGTTTAGCTGCAAATGTGCAAATATGTATTCAGTGAGATTTTTTAGAAGTCTTCAAATTTTGCACCTTCTACAGTCTTCCTTCAAAATTTAGCCCAATAAATGTGATTATAGTTTTATTCTTTTTGCCCTGAAAGACATTTAGAGGATTTCAAATGTGGTGTTAGGAATGACAATATGGTCTGACTACAGTTTAGTAAGAATGTTCACTTGTATCACACAGTTTGTGAAACAAAAAGTAGTGATATATTACCAATAATGGCTAAAACCAACTGACTGCCACCACTAAAAAGAGTGATTGAAATGAACTGTGCAGCTTAAAATATATTCCCATTGTTAAAATATACATTTTCCAGTATTAAAACAGAGAAATAGACAGCAATATTTAGGAAGCAAGTTGTAGTTCCTTAAGTGTGTCTGGAAAGTGTTCAGTATACAGGAAGCATGGTCTTGGATGGAGTATCACAGGCTTAGATATGACATTAAGAGCCAATTACAACTCCAAATTATTTCAGGACATCAAATCCGTGTTTCCTACAGTTCATTTTCTATCTTGCAGGCTTCTGTCCAAGTTATTAACAGTGTGGGTGAGACACCATTGGCTTCGTTTCCCAGACCTGAGTGCCACCCTTGAGAGGAACTCCCAGGGAAGAGATACTTGATGCTACTGAGCTGGAGATGGAGTGCAGGGAATAGCATTATATTTACAGAGCTCCTGTGTGGAAGATAAAAAAAAAAAAACCCATCCTTAATTTTTCACTTTGAAACAGTTGACAAATCAAGCGTCAAGAAATCTTTAGGCCATGCTCTTGTTAATACAACCTTGAAGACGAAAGTGAAAGAAATTAAAGGTAGCATGTTATGTTGTATAATGCTGGTAATAATGACACAAAATATGTATTATTGGCACAAAATATAACAGAGGCTTATTTAAGACTATATAAAATGTAATTCAGTAAATGATTACTAAGGTGTTTCTTACATAGCATGGTGTAACAGCAATAAATCCCAAAACAATATAAATTATCTTCAAGTATTGCAAGTGGCAATAAAATGATTTTCCACATTACATGAGCAAAGATTATTTTTGATAGTAAGAGATAAAGACAAGACTTTGTCCCCAAAATGATGCCAAGATGGGAATGGAAGTCTTGCAGAGGGAATATTGAGAAGATACTCAGCATGAATGTAGTGAGATTCTGCAGTGAAGAACTTTCTGTGAGCATGAACAAGTGCTGGTCATAGCTTTGTGTTAGGACATGTAACTGTCTATTCCTGTCAGGAGGGTCAAGAGAGGAAATGTAAAGAGTAAGTGATAGTAGAACACTTGCCAAGGGTCCACAGCAAAGAGATCATGCAACAGGAAATAAAACAGTCAAGAGAAACCAAATCAGAGCAACAAAAGAAATAGAGGGTCAAATAATTTTTTTCTACTGTTTTGTTCTCTATTGCATAAGCATATTAAATTATTTCATTTTGCTCTAACAAAAAAAAGCCTTTGAGAATTTTTCTGTTACAGAGTGGTACTCTTTCATATACAAAAGTCTCCTCTGTTTGGATTGCGTTTCTAGGTTCTGCTGGCTTATCTAGTGGATATATAATGTTGAAATTACAAAGCCTTACAGCCTAAGTAACAGTGTTTACTGAACTTTGGAATAAATGCTAAGTAGCTTTAAATGACTTGAAAGTTATAAAAAGAAAAAAGAAAAAAAACATAGAAAGAAAGATGAGATAGATTATGGAACAATAGCCTGTTAAAATAACCTAGTCTAATTTTTATAGCTGCTCAAGTGCTCAAAACATAGCCAAATTTCCATGATGCTACTGACTTAATGCCTTTGAAGACTTATGCCAACAGACTTCTCATATCCGAACAAAGAAAACAAAACTGTATCTTTTCCATGAGTTACATACAAATCTTAAGTTAACAGGATCCAGATAAAAAGGTAATAACAACTGACAAGATTAATAAACTACATGAGCACACACACTGCATTGGCAGCAGGTTTCCATCAGCTTGAATCCTCAGGCTTGCCCTTCACTTCTAAGCTCCGTGTAGTTGTATTAAACAGATGTCAGAAACAATTTCACTACGTAAGAGGAGCCAAGCACCCAAGCCATCCTTTGAGCTAAGGCTCTTTGAAAAGATGGTATGTTTCATCAGAACCAATTTTGTGGTACACAT